TTATTTTAAATAAATTCAGGCTTATGTTGAAGTTTAATCTTATTTTTATATAAAATATAATTTTTGTAAATTAAAAATAAAAATCTATAAAAAATATTTAGCTCAAGATATAGTTAGAAATTCCACTGACCTGACAGACTTGATTGATTCGACTCGAATGGCGAGCGATAAGGAAAATGTCAAAGAGAAGAGCTTATCACCGGCATTCGAAAGAGTTGACCACCGGGAGGGGAATTCAATTAATCCCGGGGGTCAGCATAGAAGGAGCCGCTACCGAATGATCGCTGGTAATGATTCCAACGATCCGTCGATCCGTCGATCCGCCGACTTTAATGAGCTTATCCATCATCGCGGTCACAGCTCCCAGCTCAGCGACTTTGGACGTCTCCTCATCTGTCACAGGGCTAATAGGTTTCATTAGTCATCTCCAATCTCCGCCAGTCGCCGGGTTTATCTCTCTGACCACTTCTCAGGGCCAGTTTCGTCTTGGGTTTTTGGTTTTTAGGGTTTCTTTCTTTCCTTGTTTTTTTTCCAACGTTTTCTCTGCCGTTTGGGGTTTGCGTGTCGACAGCAATTTTCACCTTAATTATTTTTGGTGGCAGGATGGACGAGGATGTGTCCAGCACGCGCTAATGTTTAATATCCGCCAGGATAATAGAAAGGGAGGCAACAAGGGTAAGGGAAGGCACCAGACAGTTATGCAAATTTCCAGAATTATTTGTATATTAAAAACGTAGCAGAACCCCCAAACCCTGCCTTCTGTCATAAAAATGATGAACCCAGGGAATACCTTCTTGTGACGTCCATGGAAAATTTTTAATAAATTATTATTTACGCAAATGTAATGGGTAATTGGTATCAAAACAAGGTGTCAAAACCATAATTATAAACCATAAATAAATAAAAAAAATATTCAAATTTGAATGTCGGTTCAATAAATAATAAAGTAATATAATCGAGACGAAATAAATAAGAAAATAATCATAATGTGGTATTTGAATATTCATAAAAAGTAAATACGTAATTTCTAAAGGGAAATGTGATTGGAAAATTAGGTGTTTCCTATAAGAAGAGCCTTGAAATATTCCCAGTAAACTTACCTTTTTTAAATTATTTATTATTTATTTGTTTAAATTTATAAAATGAATTATAGCAAGACAAAAAGTAGTAAACAAAAGGTTTTTAGACAAAAACATTTAAATATAATCAAGAAAAGAGTTAAAAACATATTGTAATATAAAGAAAATGAATATAACTTTCTTTTAAAATATTTTTAAATATTTAATATATAAAAAAAATACCTATATTTTAAAGAATTTAAGACCGAAAAAAAAATATAACCAACAAAGTCACCATACAAATATTCCCTAATAGTCACTGGGAATATCCTGCAAAACGGAAGCGAAGTTCGAAGTGAAGCGTGCGCTCGTAAATTATTGTAGCCACACACACACACAGATACACAATACACACTCACTGAGTGTCAGGATATGTCCCTGTCTCTCTCTCTCTGTGTGTGTGTGCCAGTTTGTTTGCCCATTTGGGCCAACGTCCCTTCGTGTCCTGGCTGTCTAACATTGTCCGTTCATTGTCTTGCCATGGCCTGTTTTTTGTGGAAAGGTGAAAAATAGCAGAAAAGTGGGGGGAAACGTGAAAAAGTGGGGGTAAAATGGGGTCAAAATCGGGTGGAAAATGGTGTCTTCAGCTTGGAACACCGGTGGTTGAGCTTGCCGCTCTGTTTGCCATTCAATATTGGCGCCATTGTGGTCCCCCTTAGGTCGGTGTGACTCCTTGCAAGTCCTTTACTGCCCGCTGTCTGCCATAAAATGTTCAATTAGTTAATGAAAAATTTTCCAATTGGAAAACAACAACATTTGACTTCAACTAACGACTTTTGTCGGACGAGTAGAAGGAGGAGAAGGTGGGAGTCCTTGCCTTCAGGTTGGAAATTTATGCATGTGATTTATGCACAACAACGATTGCCAATTACAATATCATTTCTCTTCTTGTCTCTCCGGCTTTGTGTTTGCATTTGTTCATTTTGTCCTCTGCCTTTGGCTCTCTTTCTTACCTGGCTTACCTGTGTACGGGGTGCCATTAAGAAATGTGTCAAAACATGTGAGGAATTATATAAGTTAAAAAACAGAGTCAGCAGGGGGGCACCAAATGGGGATAAAGGATAAGGAAGTTAGGCCCAGGGTTTAATCGATTTTTTCAAGGGGTGAATAACATTATTAATTTAAGGGGTTTTTATTTAAAGTATTTATATAAAATATATATATTCTAAAGAAGCTAAATAAGTTGGTTGTTTAATAGTTTAAAAATTATAATTAAATGCATTTGCAATAGAAGATAGTTTCAATTTTACAGGGGAAGGTAGCTAGGTATTTTCCTATTTTTATATTTATTTGCGTAAAACTCTTTTTACTTTAAATAATCAATTAAAAATGCTTTAAAATATTAAGAAACCTTCATTATATTTCCAAGCCATTTATTGCTTAATATTTTCATTAAATTCTCACAAAAATTCCAGAAAAAATCTCCCACTTCTTCTACCTTCTAAAAACAGATCCCTATCATTTTCCCAAACACATTCTCATAGCAAACTTCAACTTCAAATTTGAATTAGAGCAGAACATTGGTCATTGGCACGTTCTCCTCGCGTAGCCCTTAACCCCCGACAGCCAGAATCAAGAGTCAACAACTCTCGCTTTGTTTTATTTTCCCAGCAAACAGATATTAAAGCCAGGGGGAAAAATAGTGGAGAAGCGCACAGGAAAAGCCAAGCGGATGACACAAATTCTGGAGAGGTGGTGGCAGAAACAACAACAACAACAATACAAAAAAAGAAGCATATGGAAATGGGGAAATCGCGTCAAGGGAAATGGATGGAAAATGTGGAAGTGGAAACGAGAAAATATTGAGAACGCATAGACGAGACTTTGGCGCGCGGCTTTCGGTAAACAAAAGGGAAAAAATACCAGTAAAAAACATTCAGCAAACATTCAGAAATGGTTGACCGAGCATCAATAGAGCGGCTAAACTCGCTGGATTTTCACCCGTGGAAAACAGAGCCATTCGAAAGACAAAGGAAAAGCCAAAGTCCGGGAGTTTCCTGTGCACAGCGGCAGCGGCTAATGAAGCCTGAAATCGATTTGTGTTTTGAGTTTGGTACGATTTTTAGACGATTTTTGTATGATTTTTGTATGATCTGTGTTTTCTGAGGGAGAGGGAAATACCCCCTGAAACACCTGAAGCCCTTGAAGCCACCTGAAGCTGAAACCACCCACCGCTTTGGTGGTTACTCCTTAGAGACAGGCAGCTGTTGCCATCTCGAAATCCCCAAATTTACAGCATTCCTTCTCCTTTTAGTGGAGTCTCTCTTTTTACATTCGGAATTTACGATCGCCGCCTTTGTTGGTCCTCTTTTTATTGGTCGTTCCGACGGGGTCTCTTCACGCATTCTAAGCACTGAAAAAAATTATAAAAAGGGGGACTTCAAAAAGAAAATAAAAAAGAATTAGCTAAGATAAACATAAAAGAAATTGGGAAACGCTATTAATAAATAAAATTATATAAATATAACATAAATAAAATATAAAAAAAGGTGTTTTGTAGTTTAGAATAATTTTTTAAATTGATTTAAAGCAATTTAAGAGTGATATTTATATCCTGACAGGGTATTCTCATTTTAGTCAGAAATTTGTTAAGAAGTTTAGAAAGCATTTCCGACCCTATATATCATATATATTCTTAATCAGCATCAACAGGCGAATCTTTCTACACATGTTTTTAGAAAAATTTTTTTTTTTTAATTTTTTGAAAATTTTGTAAGGGGTTACATCATTAAAATTCTCAAAAATGGGCCAAAATTTGAATTTTTAAAAATGTTAAATTTAGTAAGCACACTTTTTAACCTAATAAAAACTAGCATAAAACTGTTTTCCTTTTTAAGATTAAAGCTTTTTTGGCTTAGTTCTGATAAATTCAAAATTGGTCCTCTGATCCTAACTTTCTTGTTTTTTATTTTTATTTTTATATAATTAAGTAGAACCTTTTTCCCCAGTGCCTTTGTCCGATAGCCATGAAAAAAGAAACAAAACGAGTTAACAGAACCACCGAACCACCGAGCACCAACACCGTTTTAGCCAAGAAGCCGAAGGTGTCAAGTGTTTCGGCGTTATCTTCTGCGGTTGCTGCCTGGATGCCTGGTTGCCTGATGCCTGGATGGCCTGCCTCTTTGTAGGCCAACTTCCTCTGGACCGCCTTGGCTTGGCATCTGTCTGTTTTCCAAATTGCGTCAAAAATTATCGCCATTAAATGTAGATGAGCGTTTAGTTGTAAAGTTATTGGCCCATAAATAATCCGCGAGTCGGTCGTTTGCGCGGATTCAGGTTCAGAATCAGGCATCTTGTTTGTTTGTTTGTTTCTTCGCTTGGTTCTTTCCATTCATAAAAGGCCCGTGATTTATGCAGCGAGCAAGGATTGCGGAAACATTTGATTGCTGTGAAAATTTAGCCACAAATTGAAATTCATTTGCTGATTGGGTCAGGAAATTTACGAGGGAGGAAAACTAATTAGAAGTGGCAGGAAAAGTCTCGGGAATTTTATGGAAATTTAAGGGGATAATTAATTATTAGTCTTGAAGTTGTGCATTTACATTTTTTATAGAATTCTTGAAAATTATATAAATATTATATATATTTTTTAATTCCTATATAAATTCTTATAAAATCAATTAAAAAATTTTAATTTTAGCGCTTAATATTAAGTTGAACCTTATAAATTCACCTTTGTGGTGAATAAGCAGAAAGTGCTGCCATTCTGGTGAAAAATCTTCAAGTTTTCAGACCTAGAGGGCTAGGTGGCGCCATCTGTGACTGAAATATTTAGTGAAACAAAAAATATATTAAAAAATTTATTTATTATTAAGACAGAATAAACTTTAAATTAAATGTAAGCTTTAAATATATTTATTAAATTTATATTTATATTATTTCCAAGAATTCAACTTAGGAACTTAGAGTTCCTGCCCTGGCCGTAAGGTGGTGCTCCATTAGTTGCCAAATAAAAATACAAGGTGGCGCTATGGAGAAATTCAACAAAAAAAATTAAAAAAATCTATTAAAATGTTAATTTATTGTTAATGATTTTACTCACCTGCGATTCACATGCTCGCCCATATATATAAACCGATCTTCTTCTATAATTTCCGTATTATCCTTCAAACAACTCTCAACACGCCGACTTTTAATGGCCTGAAAGCTGCACGAAATGGCTGGAAAATTCCTGGGCATGCCTATAGACTCTGCATAAAACATAACAGCGCGATTGTGACTGCAACTGTCTAGGAAATTAAAGAAAATAATAATTAAAATTATTTATATTTATATATAACAACACCGAGTTAAGCTAGCTTACAAGCCTCATGAAGGAGCTTACTGGCAGCTATCAAATCCACATCCTCGCAGCCCGGCTGTGGAGTCTGTCCAAAATTGGGATAAAAATCCACAGCGCCTCGAGGTCGCAGATCCCCAAACAAAGGGTAATCCGTGTGTATGACATCCACAAATTGAGCGGCATTCGAGTGGAGGCTGTCATCAGAGCGACTCGAGAAAAGGGGCAGAGCGGGATCCAAACCCGTGACCCTGCCAAGAGTTCCATTAAAATAGCGACCAATGCGTCCGGCTATATGGGCACCCAGACTGTGTCCTATGACATGAACTACATCCGTGGAGATGCCATGGCGTTGCAGGAACTCCTCCAGTATTTTGGCCAACATGCGACCAACTTTCTTAACCGCCAACCGAGAGGTGGGGTAATCCAGGTTGGCCACAGGCCCCCAATCGGCCACCATGATATTTTCATAGCCCTGGGCGGTATAGGCTTGAAGAGAGAGGTTTATTTATAGAGACAACCCTTGATTTTGCTGGGTTTTTTACTAGATTTTTATCCTAAAAACCCTTCTCTTCTCACCATTTCTCAGTGGCATTATAGAACCATGAGTCCTTGATCCCAAATAACCATGAACAATCAACTTGACCGAGTCCAGCCTCTCCACTTGTTCTACTTTACTCAGCAGCAGTTCCTCGGTGGCCGATGCTCTTAGGTAATATATATTGCTTTGATCCACCAAAGTGTCCAGTAAGGCGGCCTGCAGGCCCAAAAACTGGCAGATTAGAGGCGCCACACACAAACTGCTCTTGGCCATGTCTAGATCAAGGCACTTTACTTTAGAGAATCGACTTGAAATCTCGCTCCAAGCTCGTCTTATTTATATAGTACCTGGAATATGGCATGCCACATGCTACATTTTAAGCTAATCGATCGATTAGCGAAATGCCCCCCCAGAGAGAGAGATGACGCAGTTGGTGAGTGAGTACACATAAGATTACTGTATTATCTAGGTATTAAGTAATTTTCCATAAATATTACACACATATACACGCACAGACAGGGAGAGTTGAGCTAAAGCTAGGGTTAAAATGCAAGCGATGTTCAAACGAGATTTGATTTTGATTCGAGTTTGATTCGATTTTTGATTCGATTTTGATCCGATGCTGGGTTATCCCTGATTTCGGAGATGGCAGTTGGATAAGAATATAGTTTTAAGAGTGTCTAAGAAGTCTTTAAGGGGTTAAAATACAACCAGAAAGTGTTTAAAAAGGTGATAAAATTGTTTAAAATAATTTAAAAGAACTTGTTATACACTTTAAAATTTTTAAAGGGTTAAAATATACCCAGAAAGTATTTGAAAAGGTTCTAACAAATTTTATAATATTTTACAAACACATTTTTAGATACTTTTCAAAGAGATTTCATACCTCCAATGATAATTTTAGGTCCAGAAAATCTTAAAAATATTTTATAGGCAATTTTTAAACCCTCTCTAAGGATATATCCAATCTCTATGAATTTTAAAGCTCTTTGTTTGCTTATTAAAATCTTAAAAATCCCCAAAAAGAAGTTCTAAGACACTCTTCCTGTTTCATTTAATATCCTATCGCCTGGCCTCTTCCTCATTAACAGGTCTTATCATCATCCTAATCCTTTTCAGCGAATAATCCTTGCCCTGAAACGTGTCCCAAAAGATGCCCGTCTCTCCAGCTCGGCCGTAGTTCTGCTGGAAGTACTGACCCAACACATTGCTGGTGCCACAATTGTTGTACCAACCGGCACCCTTGTGCTTCTGGGCGCAGCTGCAATCGATGCAGTTATCGTTATCGGCATCCACAGTGCTGAACTTGGCACCGGCATGATATGACAGGGAATCCCCCGCCGAGGGCGTTAGATCGCTCTGGAATCTGCCCAGCAAGTTGAGAGGATACAGTTCCTTTTCGCTGCCAATGGCAAAGGTGGAATATCCCGCATACGCCACGTTGCCTGCAAAATCCTCAAGAACTATGCGCAGTTCATGGATGGCAGACGAAGTCAAAGCATGGAGTTTGTTTAGGCCTATAAAGAAGTCACCAGCTAGATTGCCAAAGCCATCTTTGTAGTCCAGCCAGCCGCGCTCAAAGTTCAGTTCGTCAGAGCTGCGGTTCAAGATCACCGTCCAGTCCTCGTCGCAGGCCACATAGAAGGACTCTGACTCTGGTGTAAGCTGCACCTTGAGGATGCCCTCGATGGCTAGGAAGGACTGCTGGCAGCTGCTGGGCGGCCGGGTGAAGGAGGAGGGTTGGTAGCCACCTGGTCCCGAGGGGCCGTAGAAGATGGGCGGCTGCTGACCTTGTCCCTGACCTGGTCCTTGGCCCAGGCCCTTGCGATGGGACACACGACGCTGGCGACTAAAGGAATACGAATTATGTTAATTAATTATGTTAATTGGTAATTAAAGTGTTTCTTGCTTACTTGATGGACTGGGCCAGCTTGGCCACATCCCACTGCACAGCCCGGACATTGAGGGCCGTGGAGGTCAGCAGGGTGGCCAAAGCATCCAGGCGATCCGAGACACTCAGGCTGGAGGAATTAAAGTCTCGAGCATCCGAAGAGCCTGAGGCTGCCGTATACTGATCCTGGGGAATGGCTCGGACAGTGCGGGAGATATCTATAGGGGATTTAATATAATTTTATTAGCGAAATAATAAAACGCAACTAAGCTTAAAGCTTATAGGCCTAGACTCGCCAGCGTTTATCTACATAAACGAGCAGCTGACGAAACCGAAATATGAAATATTCAAACGAGCAATGCATCTCAAACGGATAAAGCGCTTATCAGCTGTTTTCACTCGGCGAGGGGAGATATTCGTGAAGGAACGAGTAGGTGCAGAGGCTAGGTGCTTGCAGAGCTTTGGCGATCTGGATCATCTGGAGTTGGAGATGGGGCTCGGTAATGAGTCCCTTACTTTAGAAGTTTCAAGTGTTGGAGCTTTACAAAATAGTTCTTTTCGCGCCTAAACGTAGTTTAAAATGCATTTTTTATTTAAAAAGTTTAGTAATATTTAAAAACAGTCGCTGTAATAGGAAGCTTATATTTATTGTGGGAGTCTTTAAATTTAGAATAATTCTTGATAAAATGCTAATAATTTTAAAATTTATTAATATAACATGGAAGACAACATAAATCAAAATAGTCAAAATAGCCGCGCGTTACTGCGCATTCTTGGAAAGCAGAGATCTGGTCTAAAAATCTGTCATATAAATGCTCAAAGCCTGACTAAAAAAATTGAAGAATTTAGGTATCTCTTTATCGACTCAGAAATAGATGTTATATGTATATCTGAAACATGGTTTGTCCCGAATATTTGTGATGTCTTAGTTGAATGTGACGGCTTTAACTTGTATCGTTCTGATCGTGAAAGTCATGGTGGAGGGGTTGCAATGTATGTGAACAAAAAATTGAAGTCCAAATTTGTATGTAAACATCCTGCTTGTAGTTCTGTGGAATATTTATTTGTAGAAATTAAATATAAGTTACAATACACTGCAAAAATGCTGATTGGGTGCGCCTATCGGCCTAATTGTCGGACCAACTATGACAACATTACAAGTATCCTAGCTGATTTGTCAACAAAATATGCAGATGTTATTCTTGCAGGTGACTTTAATAGTGATTTAATAAGAGAATCACATCTTACAAATAATATGGAGTCGCTAGGGTTAAATGTAGTAAACACTACTTCCCCTACGCATTTTTGCAACACTCGCAGCTCATTACTAGATGTGTTCTTTGTGACTAATACTGACAAAATAGCTTTATATGACCAGCTAATCGTCCCGTCTTTTTCGAAACATGACCTCATCTTTCTGACATACGCAATTGACCTTCTATATCATGACAATACCATAGTCTTTAGGGACTTTAGAAATATAAATTATGAACATTTAAATGAAACCTTTAACTGCTGTAATTGGGATGGCCTATATTTACTCGCAGAAGTTGACGATCAAGTAAAGTACTTTCAGGATAATATACTTAACTTGTATAACAGCTGCGTTCCGGTTCGTAGAAAAATAATTCGTGCAACGGAGAAACCATGGTTTCATAATGGCATTCGGAATGCGATCAATGAACGCGACAAAGCTTTCAAAAAGTGGAAGAGGTATAGGACATCACATGAATACAGGAAATTTAGTTTGCTGAGACAATCTGTAACTAAGCTCATTGACATTGCTAAAAGCAGCTACTATTCCCGTAAATTTGAAAGAACATCTTCTACTCAAGAAACATGGAAAACAATAAAAAGTTTGGGAATAGGAAAATCCAAAGGGAGGGTGGAACAGGACATAGATGTGAATGAACTAAATAAACAATTTATAAAATGCTCAGTACCTGAAGTTCTTGACAATCAATACTTACAACTTGCACCTGAAATCGTCTGTGATAATAGGTTTAGGTTTGTGACTGTTAATCAATGTGATATTCTACAGACTATACTTGACATTAAGAGTGATGCGACTGGACTTGACGACATTAATCCGAAATTTATCAAAATTTTGTTACCTAGGATTCTGCCTTATTTAACTCATATATTAAATAAAGCATTAACAACCTCGACTTTTCCTGACTGCTGGAAAACGGCCAAGATTATTCCGATTCCAAAATCAAATACTGACTACAGACCTATATCGATCCTGCCGTACCTTTCTAAAATATTAGAAAATATAATGGCAAAACAAATAAATAAATTTCTCACTGACAATGAAATGCTAAATAATAATCAGTCAGGATTTAGGAAAGGTCGAAGCTGTACTACAGCTATATTAAAGATTACTGACGACATAAGGAAACAAATGGACGATAACAATGTCACATTTTTAGTTTTACTGGACTATAGCAAGGCTTTTGACACTGTAAACCATAATATTCTATGTTCAAAGTTACGTAATATGTTCCATTTTTCAAAAACTTCTGTTAAGCTTGTGTCTTCGTACTTAAATAATCGTCGTCAATCAGTTGTTCTATCTAATGTATCGTCGGAATTTGGAAATGTCACTCGTGGTGTCCCCCAAGGTTCAGTACTTGGTCCACTGTTGTTTACACTGTATGCTAATGACCTACCATCTGTGTTGTCAGAATGTAATGTGCATCTGTATGCCGATGATGTCCAAATGTATGTGAGTCGTCCTTTAAATAGAATAAGTGAATGTATTGATGTATGTATCCGTGAACTTGCTCGAGTAAATGAATGGGCAATCAAAAATGGACTAGGCATTAACCCAAATAAATCTAAGTGCCTCGTAATAAGCAGAAAAAAAATAAAGCTAGACAATATCGAACCTCTTCACATTAATAACAGTCCATTAGAGTATGTCGAAAAAGCCGTAAATCTTGGATTTACATTCAACAGGACTCTTACATGGAACGATCACATCGCAAAGGCAATAGGAAAAGTATTTGGAATGCTGAGAGTATTGTCTGTGACTAAGGGTTGCCTGCCTATAAATGTTCGTATGTTAGTAGCAAAAACATGTTTAGTTCCGTGTTTATTTTATGGTGTAGAAGTTTTTTCAAATTGTGACTCGATTAGCCAAAATAAAATAAAAATAGTATATAATAGCATCGCAAGATATATATTTAATTTGGCACGAATGGAACATGTGTCGGCTTATGCCTATAAAATTTTTGACGTAGAACTTAGCGGATGGATAAAGATGAGAATATTGACATTTCTTCACAAATTAATATATAAGAAAGAACCAGCATACCTATTTGAAAAATTAACATTTACTGCGTCTAGAAGACTAAACAATCTAATTTGTATAAGGCCCAGATCCCTGACATCCGAGAGACAATTTTTTATTAATGCTATTAGATTATGGAATCAGCTACCCAACAACATTAAAAACATTAGCAATGCTACGCAATTCAAAGAAAAGGTACTCTCACAGTTTAAATAAGTCAAATAAATTAAATTAAATTACAGCGACTTAGGAATAGGATTAGGATTAAGTTAAATTAACTACAAAATATACTAAATAATAATAATAATAATAAACTTTAAATTGTTAGATTAAGAATATCATATGCACAAATTTTGTTTAGATTTAAGCTTTATGACAGTATGTATTGTAACCCTTTGTGACTAGCGCTCTAATTTATAAGTTTTACACTTGTAGCGTTAGGAAGGCAAATAAAATCAAATCAAATCAAAATCAAAAAAAAAAAATATAAAGGAAAAGGGAAGCTAACAGTTTAGTGTATTTTTTATGGCCTTAAGTTATCACAACATCTATTTTGTTTACACAACACCAATTTCTTGGGGTTACCATTCATTTTTCTGCGATTTCTAAGCCTGTGCTTCAACTCTCTAACAGCTCTTGGGCCAAAAACCTGATCGGTTTCACCTTTTAGTTCATCCAGAGTGTTCCTTGAGAGGCGTTGGATATGCTCAAAGCTGTCCAGACGCTGCTGGAAGTTCAGCTGCTGGACCTTCATGGATTCCATGCGAGCCTCGCTGCTGTCCACCAGTTGATCCAATCTGAAAAGTACATAAATAAATTCTTAAATAAGTAAAACTAACTATCAGTGAGACCTATTTCCAGCGACCTCCCTGATTAGGCTCTTGTTTCATTTACATTATTCTCGTTTTCTTCAAAGTTCCGCTCGTTTATCAACAACTTATAAGTTGCTTTTGTTTCTTATTTGGCATTTGCTGGCTTCTATCCCCTCGTTTTTCAAACGTAAAATAAGAACAGCTAATTAAAGCCAACAAAGTCGAAAATATATTAACCAAACAGGCTAAACAGCAAGAGCTGTTCAAACATAAAAACGGAACCGAATGATAAACACTCTCAGCAGGCGTGCGAAAAATTGGCAGAAAATTCAGTGGAATTTTAAAAATAAATTTGACCGAAAAAGCAGACAGCTTCATGGATAATTTGTTGGCATCATTAAGCACTTGCTTTATTCTGTCAATTCAAAGAGTCTTCCAAAAAAGTGCCAAATTCCAATAGATATTATGGCTATTGCCTCACGTTGTTGCTTATTTTTAAAAACATATATTTCTACCGGTTTGTTAGCTATATTATTTCATCATCATGATGATGATAATCATGATGATGATGTGCCTATGCGAAACCAAACCCGTTTCCCTTCAAGACTATGAGCTATACCCACTTCTTATCGATGACTTCCAGGCGATGGCGCTGGTCCTCATCCAAGGTCACCAAGATGCCAACGCGATCATGGAGGTTGGTCATCAGCTCCTTGTAATCGCAACGAGCGGGATTTAAGGGTAACGAAGAACTTACAGGGGTCTGGAAGGGAGAGAGGGAGTTATGTATATGCAAAAGGGAAATACACAAATCATTAAGCAAACACGAGGCCAGCGCATTGAACTTGTTCTGGCCAAAAACGAAACCTGCTGCGACTGCTGTTGGCCAAAGAGTCAGCGAGTCACCAGACTTAAAACACATTACAGTAAACGATCGAAAGAGTAAACAAAAGAGAGCTTTGTAAAATATGAGAAAATGTATGCCACACACTTGATGTTTTAAAATTCACATTAAAATCAGTTCGGGTTATGTTAAATATCTCACAAACAAAAGATCTGTCATTTTGTATTAATCTGACTTAATTTGCACTCTTTTTCAAAACACTCGACACTTTTTTGTAATATATTTATCTTGGGCAAAGCTTTTAGCTATTCATTTTTATGAACAGACTCTTTGGCAATTTATCATTTGTTTATTTTTGGTGTTTTATAGGTTCTGTTGAATTCAATATATATGTGTTTTTTTAATGGCTTTAGGTTCAGAGAAACATGATTTATATTAAAAAAAAATATATTGGATATAGTATAACCTTTAAATTTGATTAATTATAATATATTCATTTAATATTTTCATTATTACAAGAAACTAAGCCAGAGGAACTAACCCACCCCTTTAGGCTTTTTTTAAAACACTTTCACATCACTATTAATTTATTTAAACTACGATTTCATTATTTATTATATATTTTTTATTTTATTTAATCTATTAATCATTTATTAAATATTTTAGCATTTATTTTAATATTTAAAAAGCTCTATTTATTTTTTTTTCTTCGATCGTTAGCTGCCTGTATATTAACACTGTAAACGCACTCGGAAGTTGTTACGCACGCGCGACCGCGCCGGGTTGACTTGGGGCGGCAGTGGAGGCGGGGCCTGGGTAACCCCAGGTGTTTCCACCAAAGAACCAGTGGCAAAACCACAGATGGCCACAATAGCCAAGGCCACTAATTGGTGGCTCATCATTTTGTCACTTTTGTTTACGCGTCGTGGTTTCAGATCAAAGCAATCCAGCTGTCAATTATTCATTAATTTTGCCTCAACACAAGACAAGATATATCTGAACCCGAAGATCTTTAAAGATTACGTCCGTTCCGGTCAAGATTCGCGTTGTGACTGAGCGTATATTTCCCAGACTCAACGGGGAGATACCCTCTCTGAGAAGCTTTGCTCGAAAGCTTTTGAGAGTTGGAGAATGCCAAGCATGCGATTCTTCAAGATTGTATCGTATTTTTTATTTGTAGGGATCGTCATTCCCTCTCTGCTTTGTTTACATGTCTCTGGCGGAGATGGGAAAAAATCCCCCGAGCTTTTTTTTTTGGCTTCTTGGCGGCTGTCAATCATTTCGGGTGACGACTGCTTAACACGCGCACAGCATGCCAAATGGATTGGCAATGGCTTGTTTAGAGCGGTACTAACACCAGCTGGGAATTATTAATTGGCCAGGGAAAGGAGGGGTTTTAAAGACGAAGAACTACTAGTCTTGAGCTTAATTTTAGTCCGGGGTTTTAGGGGGGTTTTAGAGGGGTTTAAGAGGAATTTTAATGGTAATTTTGGGAAATAAGGGAAAAAATTAAGCAAGAATTTGAGTAAGAGTTTATGAAGATTAAACAACTAACTAAATAATTCTGGTAATTCTATTACCCATATTTTAAATTATAAGATTTATTTATAAATAAGATTTTAACATTATTTGAATGTATTAGTTATAAGATTTCTTGTATATTGATTTAAATATAATTTAAATTTTAAAAAATATATAAGCCAGAATGGAACTATTCTCTTCCAGGCCAGCAAACTTGCATCTGCCATAACTTTGTCAAAAAAGCCTTAAATTCAAATCGGAAAACAGTTTTGTGCTAGTTTTTATTAGGTTAAAAACTCTGCATACTTAAAAAAATATTTTAAAAAATTAAAATTTTTCGCAAATTTTCAAAATTTTAATGATGTAACCCCTTATAGAATTTTCAAAAAATGGCCAAAAAATTTTTTTCTTCCTAACATGTCTAGAAAGTTGCGCCTGTTAATGCTGATCAAGAATATATATGGTTTATGGGGTCGGAAATGCCTCCTTCAGGGCTAAAAAATATTCTGACTAAAATTGTAATACCCTGGAAGGGTACAAATATATTAAGATTTTCCCTTATTTTTGCTATCTAGAAAATTCTTAAGTTCTCTTATGTTATTTATTTTATTTTTATAATTTATAAACATTATTTTCTGTGCATTTATGATATATATTTTATGCAAATTATATTGGCAAATTGTTTGTGGATTGATTAACTGGCTAATTATAACCTGTAGCATTGCCCACTTGAGCTTGGCCTTTGTGTTTAGTAATAGTAATCCAAGTTGAATGCTAATTAAGGGAAATAAAAAGTGTAAAATGGGTTAAGAACTACTTGAACTTTACCTTAACTGCTGAGACTTAAAATAATTAAATATTTATTTCAAAAGACCAGGCAGTCATAATGATTTAGCGTCACTAAACCTAGTTTCCCAACTTAATTGCAGGCCAAAGGCATTCTCATGATGCCTCTGAACGTAGCTTGCATGTTAATTGCTATGCAAATGCCATTCATTGACACTCTGTAGAGAAACCTGCCTCAATATATGCATATATATAACCAAGAACTGCTCCGATAAGAAAAGGGTTTACCTGAGCATTTCGATGAGTAATCGCGTGTGCCTGGCAGCCGCCCAAGTGGTCTGGCTGGCGGTCTCTCTCTGTGATTTTCCCCCTCACGACGTTGACAGGCTATTTATAGAGGGTTCTACGCGATTTCGATTCTTTATTTATATGGATTTTGGCCTTAGCCCGTCGTCATCGAGTGGAAATATAATGCAAGCCTCACGAGCAGAATAAATATGGAATGCGAATACATTTTTCATTCGGAATTACAACTTGTTCACGATGATCGAAGCTTACTTACCTTTTGGATATGCGCTTGGTTCCGCATTATGTCACATTTAATTACAAAAGCTGCCATGGGTTTTATGGGTTTTTATGGGTTTCCGAAGGTCCACGGCAGAAACCTTTGCAATTGCCCAGCTGCTGCACAGATGGATGGATGAATCGTGAGGCGGTGGAGATGCTCGCCTGCAGATACCAAGAGTCAGGCAGCAGGCATCAGGCCCCTAAGCTAAAAGCCAACTCTATTTGTGGCCAAGATGAATAGATGAATTGCCGGGCTCAAGATGACGCAATCGCTGGAGCAAAAAGAAAAAAGTTTCTTAACATCCCAAAGTATATATTGTTTGCCCAAAAAAGAGTTGTGTCATTTACATAATTAATGCCTTTGCTGTGGGAGGCATCTCCATTTCGCCCCAATGAGACTTGTCATCCTCTTGAATAATTTCAATTGCTCCGAATGGGGCATGGCTTCGTGTATAATCAAAAATTATTAGCCTCGAATACTGTGCAAATTTATGGCCCTGAGACAGCCATTCATTAATCAAAGCTTCAAACTGGAGCATCGTCTAATAATATGTCACAGAAAATAGAGATATATTATTTGAATTTCATCATTTAATTGAGAATTTTCTTAGATATAAACACTTGAATTATTAATTTAAATTTTTTGTTATTTGTTTAATGTTAAATTATAAAAAAATAAGTCATAGAAAATGAAGATATATTATTTGAATTTCCCATTTAATTGAATTAAATATATTTAATATTAATTCAAATTAAATATAACAAGAAAGGAAGCTAATTAATTTTACGTTGCTTTATTTCTTATATTTACAGCACTCCAATAGCGAAAACGAGAGCGTGCGCAGGCACCTGGGAAGCACGATGATCTTGTTCATTGTAATGTTGATTGATGATCACCTGATCGGCAGAGGTGAAGCTGGAGGAGCAGCTGGGATGACAGATCTCAACCCAATGGCAGCGGAGGACGGTGCTCGGATCTTGGCTCCGGGCTAGTTAAAACCCTGCAGCAGGCGTAAATAATTCAAATATTTATAAATGCAATTTAAATATGTAAATGTAATTGATGGAACACACAAATATGAATCAATAAAAGATGGTGAAATCAATGTGCAATTTTTTTTGTGAAGGCGGCATTTATTTGGGATCGTTTGGGGAAAAATCTAATTATTTTGAAAGCAAAATCTAAATTTTTAAATTTGTTTTCTGAATTTTAAACATTTTTTTTCGGATTTTTTATAATTTTTCTGAAGATTTAAGATTTTTTTCTAAATTTTTAAATTTGTTCTGAATTTTAAAAATTTGTTCTGTATTTTTAACATTTTTTTCAGATTTTTAACATTTTTTGTAGAATTTTAAAATTTTTTTAAAATTTTTAACCGCCAAATTTGAATTTGAATATAACTGCCAAATTTGAATTTGAATTTAACGACGATCAGTTTCAGTGTGCCCAGGTGCAGTTGTAAAATAACACCTAATTTTGGATTCAAATGGTTTGAGTCTCCGCTAACTTGCGCCGACTCCTAAATGGTTTGAAACTTGGACTTTTTATAACAGTTTATACCAGTTTTCAGTCGCTTGCTGCTGATTTCTGTTCGCCTGGTACCCCAATTTGGGAAACGTGCAATTTGCATGGAAATGTTCGGAAATTTGGATGGGCTGCTGTAGGGATGTTGTTGTAAAAGGTTGTTGTTGCCATAAGCTGTTGTTGTCGGCAACAAATAGGTATAAATGCATAAAATGAAATATAACACTTTATACCAATTTTTATTTTTGCCCAAAAGTTTTTATAACAGTTTATACCAGTTTTCAGTTGCTTGCTGCTGGTTTCTGTTCGCCTGTTACCCCAGTTTGGAAAGCGGCCAATTTGAATGATAAAGTTTTGCTCACTTGCATCAGTGATGCTCATCTGCATCAGTGATGCTCATCTGCATCAGTAATGCTCATCTGCATCAGTGATGCTCATCTGCATCAGTGATGCTCTATTGGGACAAATTGCATCTCTCTAACTGCCAGTGATGCTCATCTAGCTATTTTGCATTATTGGGACAAAATGAAATCTCTCTAACTGCCAGTGATGCTCATCTAGCTATTTTGCATTGTTGGGACAAAATGAAATCTCTCTAACTGCCAGTGATGCTCATCTAGCTATTTTGCATTATTGGGACAAAATGGCATCTCACTAACTGTCAGTGATGCTCATCTAGCTATTTTGCATTATTGGGACAAAATGAAATCTCTCTAACTGCCAGTGATGCTCATCTAGCTATTTTGCATTATTGGGACAAAATGGCATCTCACTAACTGCCAGTGATGCTCATCTAGCTATTTTGCATTATTGGGACAAAATGGCATCTCACTAACTGCCAGTGATGCTCATCTAGCTATTTTGCATTATTGGGACAAAATGGCATCTCACTAACTGCCAGTGATGCTCATCTAGCTATTTTGCATTATTGGGACAAAATGAAATCTCTCTAACTGCCAGTGATGCTCATCTAGCTATTTTGCATTATTGGGACAAAATGAAATCTCTCTAACTGCCAGTGATGCTCATCTAGCTATTTTGCATTATTGGGACAAAATGGCATCTCACTAACTGCCAGTGATGCTCATCTAGCTATTTTGCATTATTGGGACAAAATGAAATCTCTTTAACTGCCAGTGATGCTCATCTAGCTATTTTGCATTATTGGGACAAAATGGCATCTCACTAACTGCCAGTGATGCTCATCTAGCTATTTTGCATTATTGGGACAAAATGGCATCTCACTAACTGCCAGTGATGCTCATCAAGCTATTTTGCATTATTGGGACAAAATGAAATCTCTCTAACTGCCAGTGAGCTCATCTAGCAATTTTGCAATATTTGATGTTTTTTCCATTGTCCACCGCAAGAATGCCCTTCTATTGAGCTTGTTTAAATTATCCCACCCAAAAAAAACCGCATCCTCCTCATAAGTCAAAAACAAATTTTTAAAGGTTTTTTATTTACTTCAGCTTTAAATAAATAAAAGAAGAAAAGGTGAGGTATGTGGAAATGTCGGAGGTCGTTTCCAGTGGTTTCGGCTCGGTCCTGGTCCGCTTCTGCTCCTCCTCGTCCTGATCCTTTCCTGTTTTTTTCCTAAATTTTTCTTTTTTTATTTAATATTAAATAATTAAAAAATATTTTAGAGCAAATAAAAGTATATTATTTGAAATTCTCCCCTTTAAATTAAACATTTTCCTGTTCAATTATAAAACTCCTGGAATTATTCTTGAATTTTTCTTTTTTATTTAATATTAAATTATTGTACAGGTTGAACTTATATTCAAATTGTATTTAGTTGCCATTCCATTTTGTGTGTGAGTGTGTGTTTTTTTTTTTTTATAAATCATAAACATTCAATATTTTGTCCCATTTTCTTGTTGTTTTTTGCTCACCTTTTTGCTACTTAGAAATCAACTACAAATATTTACAAAATTCTTGTCATACTCCTTGTATTTTTTTCTTGGGATTTTTTAACTATACAAAAATGCTTACGAGGTAAACATAAAAATTGCATGCTCCATCTACTAACTCTATATGTCGCCTCGAGAGTTGTTTTCGTAATTTGTGTTAATAGATTTTTCATATTTTCTTGTTTTTAACAAAGGTACATTAAATATATTTTACGACAAATTCAATGCATTAAAATTATTCAAGTTTCTTATTCGTAGTATGCCACACGTCTCTACACCTACATTTTACTCCGCTTTTACCTGTCGTTCCTCAGGGCTCCCAAAACACTCGTATCTGTGGGGGGATTGGAGGAGGAGGAATGCCCTGCCGCTTAGCTTCTAGAATAGAATACAACTAGAGAGACACGTTCCGCTAAAAACATTCTTAGTTTATATACCATTTTATTCGATTACGTTTAGGGATTAGCTTAGTTCTGCTCTGGCTTCTCGAATTGTGTTGTTGTGTTGTGCAGAAACAAAATAATCAATTAAAGTGTGGAAAATGTATCGAAAAATCATTGTTTTCTGATAAAAATTTGCCTTGAAAACGAAAACCAGTTCAATCTTCGCTCAATTTCGTTCGATTTGTTCCATTGTTGGCTCGTTGGCTTAAAAACTATGGACGTAACCTTCGGGATGGGAAAGTGCATGCAAAAGTGCGTTGTTAGCTTTGTTTTTTATTTATTTTTGCCTATAATTAATGGGGGGAAAAACTGTTTTGCAGAAAACCGAAAATACAAAATCCACTGTTTACCTCATTTTCGCAATTTTCCTTAAAACTTTGAGTGCGTGCAAATTTTGCTTCGGTTTAATGTATCCATACTTATCCTTCCTTTGCTTTGTGTTTTTCTTTTTTTTTCGGCCAGCAAATAATTCTAAACAATTTTGCCTCTACGTTTTTGTTGTCTAAAGTGCCTAGTTTTCATTTAGTTTAAATTGTTTATCTCTTTGTTTATCTGGCTGCAGTGTGTGTGTGTGTGTGAGTTTAGTGTTTGTGTTTTGCATACTTTTTTCATAAATCACAGAAAAAGTTTATTCATTTGAAATATTTTTGTTTTGTTTTCGCTTTTAGTTTAAATTTTTCTCCTTTTTTTGCTACAAAATATAATCGCTGGCCCTGGGTTCAAGTTGTTTTTTAGAGGTTTTTTTATATTAAAAACCCCTAGGAACTTTAGGCCAGGATTGCTGTTCGTAGAATCTTAGCAATTTGATTGCCTACAACTCAAATTGGCTCATAGATTTCTGTTATTTGATATTCATTATAATATATATATATTTTGTTCTACTCAAATCGTTTTTTGATTCATTTTTTACTTGTTTCAAAACCATGTGAAGTGTCTTTGATTCTTAATTTGCACATTTGTTAGCTCTTCTTTGAACTTGTCTTAAGTTTTTAATCCTCAAGTCCTCTCCTTTCCTTTACGTTTCTTAGATTTATGGTAAATGGATTTGTTTTTGGGCTTCCCTTTCGCTACGAACTCTATGTAAAATACTTGGTTAGAGGTTACTTTAGTGTTTAGTTTGATGGCTATTTAAATGTCGAATTTACTTTCGGTTCGATTTCTAAAAATTTGATTCTACTATTTGCGTTCTTTGCTAGTTTTAATTGTTTATCTATTCGCTTAAGTTTTGCCTCGAAAATGTTGTGATCTCAAACCCTGTCCGTGTGAACTTTTGACTAAATGTTTCTAGGAATCGAACAGCTGAAAAATAACTTAAAATTATAATTATACTATACTAAAATAAAAGAAAATCAATCAAAATTAAATGGTATAAATGATTTAAATTTATTATTTGTTTTATATATATGTATATATATATATATATTTTTAGATTTCTTTAGATTGTTTTTAATTGCTTTTTACATAAATTCATTTAATAGTTACAAAATTATCACTTAAACAGCGCAGCAAAAATTATAAATGACGAAAAATTATACATTAATAAACATAAAATTTTAAAAGAGCTGTGTGTGTGTGTTGGAAATTAAAGCTAACAAAATATTGATGAGGCTTCTTTTGTAGATTTCTTAAATTTTTGATTAATTGTTTGCTTTTTTTTAGACAAAGGCCAAGCCATTAATTCTCTACGAATTGCACTTGCTTAAATATAAATTACAAATAAAATTCAAAGAAAAAGAGAATGGAAACGAAATACAAATACAAGAAAATAATACCCTATTTTTAAATGTAATGAAAATACAGAAAAAACACTGACTAAACTGAGTATCCTTTTTGCGGCTGCAGGATGATGGCGAAATCTAAGCTAAATTCTGACTGAAAATTATAAAAAAATGCCGCCTCTCTCCACACACACTCCTCTGCTAAATCGAATAATATAACTAACGAATAGTAACTAAAATGTATCATAGAATTATAGTACAAAACTTCGGTAGAAGTTGCTCTTTTTCTCACACATCTCTCATACATTTATATATATTTCTTTTATGGCTGTCGATGATGCGATATTAGGTTGATTGACAGTTCGGTTAGGACAGGAGCTCGATCGGTGATGGGTGGATATTGAGGACTGGGCTATATCCTAACAGTAGAAACGTACGCCATCCACAGAGAGGACTTGCTTTAATTTTCATTTATTCTGTCGATTTGGCTCCGTATAAAGCTGCACGCCTTCCACCGTGAAAATTGAGGTCTCTGTAAGTCCAAAAAGAGATTAAAACAGTTGGTTAAAATGGTTATTAAAAAAGTGGTTATTAAAATTATGAGTACATGTGTGTAAGGGCGCCTCCTGACCATGACATAATTTAATTTACGGCCATCGACGGTCATGCGACAATTAAAATTGCCTTTGGCCAAATTACATTTTCCCAGCCACAACACACACATGATACACTTGGCAACCAAAAACACCCTCAAAATCACCCAAAACCAGCCATAAAACCACCCACAAAAGTCACACAACTAGAGACAGAGAAGCCTCTTAGGGACGAACTCTTTTTTCTTTGAAATTTTATTAGAAGAATTGAAGGAAAATTACTTTGAAATATTTTTCATAAAAAAACTTGTTAGGGGGAAAAAAATATATTATAAAATATTTTGGCTATATTTATTATCATAATTTTGGCTAATTTTTTAACAAAATTCAAGACTCTAAAGATATCTGCAACTTCTCTTAAGAATTTCTCTTAAAATTCTCTTTTACTTATTTTATTTATTAAAATTGTAGTTAATTTTAGTTTTCTAATTTTAGTAAAAATGTTTTTAAAAAGTGAAGAAGGCATTTCCGACCCCATAAACCCTATATATTCTTGATCAGCATTAACAGGCGCTTCTTTCTAGCCATTTCCGGCTGAAAAAAATTGTTGGCCATTTTTTTCACAAATTTGATAAGGGGTTACATCATTAAAATTCTCAAAAATCGACCAAATTCTTAATTTTTTTAAATAATTAAATTTAGTATGCAGTTTTGTTAACCTAGAAAAAACTAGCATAGAAAAGCTTTCCGAATTAAATTTGAAGCTTTTTTGACTGAAATTTGGAATTTTTATTTCTATTACATAGAGTCTTTACTGTACCACACAGTTTGTATGTTGGCCCCCCTGTAAAACCGCAAAAACCTCACTCGAGTGTGATGACCTTTTCCCTGGCCATGATAAATGAAGCGCATTAGTTGCGTTTTAATTGATTCTATCTGTCCACGCGGCGTATACGTAATGTTTCATGGGCAAATACCAGTTTAACCACCCTTTCCCCCTTTTGTGTTATAAAGCTAGAGTTTTTTTCGCTCCCTTTTAGAGACTGTGATTTAGCCAGAAATTAGCATGCAGAAATCTCTGGAGTTTAGAACAAAAAATGGAGTTTTGGTTGGTGTAAACAAATCACGCGTTAATCGCATTTTAAGCACACAGTTTAAGCTGCAATGCAAAAGCGGAATTTGCACTTCATTTATTTACTTTTTGGGTTTTACCCACTGAATTCTCACCCTATATACCATTCCATGGTAAAGAATATATATATGCAAGAGGGTTTGTGCCTGTAAAGCTCTCTCTATTGCAGTTGATTTTCCCCCTGGCATTGCATTTGCCAAATTGCAGCTGAGAGAATGCTGTTCTTGACCCTTTAAATTTTCGCTTTTTCTGGGGAAAATTTTACCATTTACCAAAAGGATATAAAGGCAGGGAATGTGCACTTTATTTAGTCGAAAAATCTATGGATTTTGTAATGGAATTGCCTAAAGCCTTAATTGGTTTCCAAAGGTTACATTTCTTGTATTTTCTCCTAAAATAATTCACATTTTAAATCCAGACAATCCTTACATTTAAGATGCTCACTTAACGCAATCTAATTACTTGATTTTCTGTTAGCTATATCCACTTTATTTGTCCCTCCAAGTTTGTCCTTTGCATTCATTCGTTTTCAGTTCGACTCTGTTGCTGTATTTATTTTTCTCAACTCGAACTTGTTGCAAAACTTTGCTGCCACCACTTGAAATACAAATTAAAACTGGCAAATGCAATTACTGTTAACTATATATATATAATATATATATATATATTCCTAGACCAAGAAGAAAACTGCTACCGGAAAGCAAACAAATTGTCGCGAAACTTAAATGAGTTGTCCCACCTTCCTACCTTTTTTTACCCCATTCAATCTCTCAACTTTTAAGCAAACATTTCATTTCATTCTTATTCTTGTTCGTTTTTTTCTGTTTTGTTAATTGGTTTTCTTTTCCCGCCGCCACAAAGACAATGCCCGAAAGTTGGCAGACTTGTTGGCCAGTAAATGTTTAATGCATTAATTCATTCACTCACCGTCTGGCAATTCGTAGAGTTTCTTTGGCAACTGCGCAAAGTACGGATGCTGCAGTGCATCATCGGCGCCCAAACGCTGCTCCGGATTTAGCTGCAGGAAGGCGTTCGCTATCGTCTCGCCCTCGATGATGTCGTACAGCCGTGGGAAGTTGTGACCCAGTTTCCGCGGTCGATAGAAACCTGCCAAAATGATGATGATGATGATGGGGGAGAAGATGTTTACAAAATGTGTTAAAACGGGGGTTTAGTTTTAGGGGAAAAGAAGTTTAAGATACCCTGGAGGGTTAAGTTATATGATTGTAAGCTAATTTTATTTATTAGATATTTTTAAAAATATTTTAAGCCCTCTTTTCATAATAAAACTAGGTAAAAATTAATACAGAAAAGGAATATTGAGGCCGCAGTTCCTATAGCTACTATAGGATACAGTCTGTTCTATTTATAAACATATTTCCAGGGTATATTTCTTCGATTTGTGGCTTTTCTATTAATATAAATATTTCCAGTAAAATATAGAAACCAACTTAAACAATTTCAAGCAGATATCTCTTAAAAATCAAGGACTTTACCATGTCACAAAGACCTTGATTAAAATTATATAAAATATATATATTATATACACTTCCTGGCACTGCAAAAATCTATGCCAAATTATAATAATCACCCCCATTACAATTTTCCAGGGTAGTAATTAACTTAACTCAACCCCAAAAGCCAATTACTCACCCAACTTGTGCGGCTTGTAGCCAGGAAAGTGGGTCACACCCGGCCACGTGTCCTCGGTGGGCGTGCCCAGCAATTTAAATATCTTATCCAACTGATCGTAGGTATCACGTATGCCCGGGAACGTTGGCATCCCGGTAACCATTTCCACAAAGATGCATCCCACGCCCCACATGTCCAGCGAGGTTGAGTACTCGGTGCTGCCCAGCAGGACATCTGTGAAAATAGTAAAGAAGTTGGTATAAAAATAAAAACATACACACGAACTTTGGCTAAGTAAATGCAACTAAGTCTGTTTTCTGGCAAAATAAATTGCAATTTTAAATAAATAAGGGGGAGAGAGGGGGTGAAAGAGGGAGGAGAGAGAGGGGGGAAGAGGGAGAGCAGGTTTTCCTGGAGTAAAAGATAGCTCCCATGCACTTCCTGAGTGGCTCCCGGGGCAACCTATGCGCTTATCTTTGTTGCTGCTCTTTGGCCAGCAGCTAAACAAAGTTTTAGCTCACTATATAAACACATACTGGGGGGATGTGGGAGGAAGAGGGGGGTTTTGGGTGGGTTTTTGGGTGGGTTTTAGGTGGGTTTTGAGTGGGTTTTGGGTTGGTTTTTAGGTGGGTTTTTAGGTGGGTTTTGAGTGGGTTTTTAGGTGGGTTTTGAGTGGGTTTTTAGGTGGGTTTTGAGTGGGTTTTGGGTTGGTTTTTAGGTGGGTTTTTAGGTGGGTTTTGGGAGGGTTTTGGGTGGGTTTTCGGGAGGGTTTTTGGATATGTTTTAAGATGGGTTTATAAAGGTAGTTTGGGTACAGAAATAAACAAGGTTTTTTAACAAAATTTGTAGAGATTTAAAGAAAAATTCAACCTTCCTCCAAAATAAACATATTTTGAACATTATCTTTCTCTTTTTTTATTATCATTCATCCATATATAAAGCAAAAAACCATAAAAGAAACTCTTAAAAAAAAACCCCTCTCAGACATTTTTCTACGAGCCCCGACCACTATTAATTCGTACGGCAGCTTTTTTACTCGTATAAAATATTCAGCAAACGATATTGTCCATAATAACGTATACCACATATAAAAATGATTTTTTATAGTACTATAACTTTATTCTCTTAAGTTTAAAACAAAAAAATTTATTGTACTTCGACAACAACAACAATAGTGTTTATTTATTTTAATGTGTCATTAAACTGATGATATAAATACGACCACTATTAATTCGTACGGTGCGTTTAATATTAACTTTTTATACGAAATACTAGGTTGTTTTTTAATATTAATATTGGGTAACATCACCCTTGACCTTAACGACACATTTACAACGATTTGGCATTGATTTTAATAAATTTTGGCATTGCTCTCTTGAAATAGAGTCCCAAACCTCTTGGATTTTAAGTTTTAATTCAGACAGGGTTCTTTGAGGTTCATTTTTTAGTTTTCTTTTCATTATTCCCCATATATTCTCGATAGGACTTAGGTCCGGACTATTTGATGGCCAATCTAAGACCTCAATGTTCATATTCTGCAGCCATGATTTGGTTCGTTTGGCAGTATGAGATGATGCTCCATCCTGCTGAAAGGTGTATTCGCCACAGTCAGCCAGCTTTGGTATTGATGGCAGAAAGCTTTCTTCTAAGATGTTAACATATTTTTCTGCGTTGACCATCCCATCAATAAAGTGCAGCTGCCCCACTCCTTTGGCAGACATACAACCCCACACCATAATGCTGGCTGGGTACTTAACTGTTCTTTTAAGGCAGTCTTTATGGTAGGCTTTAGTACGGATGACTCTCCTTCGCGCATCGCCGACACTTACATCAAATTTAGCTTCATCGCTAAATATGATAGTGTTCCATTGCCTTTGAGTCCAGGACATCCTTTCCCGTGACCATTGTAAACGCTTCTTCTTTTGACGAAGCGTAAGCAATGGTTTTTCCTTGGCCTAAGAGTAAGTTAATCTATTAAGTATGTAACATAGTCTATCACAGTGCATACCTTATAGAACTTATATCCGATCTCACGCAACTTCAAGCGCGTACACTCTCGCTTAACACCTTTTCCGATTTTATCAGACCACTCAGATGCTATATTTCGTAAATTTTGACGACGATCAGCCTTTACAATAGCCGCCAGGGCTCTTTTGTCACGTGCTGTTATTGCCGATTTTCGGCCTCTTTTTGCGATATTATTTTCAATATTGCCATTTTCCTTAAATTTTTTAATTATTCCCTGAACGGACGACTTAGCCAGATTAAATTGCTTGGCAATTTCACCGAAACTTTTCCCATTTTTATAATTATTCAGAACTAAAATTCTTATTTCCTTGCAAATTGGCTTTCCTCGTGCCATTGTAGCTTAACTATGAGTAATTTTCAGCAATCGCACTTTATTTTGCATTCTGCTTTGTTAAACAGTTTACAGCAAAAGACTAGATAGTGATTATGTTTCACTGTTTCCTTTTGTTTGGATCTTCTTTTAATTCTAAGCTAAGCTTTTGGCACCGTACGAATTAATAGTGGTCGAATTTATATTATCATTTTAATAACACATTAAAATAAATAAATATTATTGTTGTTGTTGTCGAAATACAATACATTTTTTTGTTTTAAACTTAAGAGAATAAAGTTATAGTACTATAAAAAATCTTTTTTATATGTGGTGTACGTTATTATGGACAATATCGTTTGCTGAACATTTTATACGAGTAAAAAAGCTGCCGTACGAATTAATAGTGGTCGGGGCTCGTACTTGACTCTAAAGCAAACACACACACACACATTTTAAGAGCAGGTGGCGACAGGAGACAGGTGTGCCCATGGCAACCACATCCTCATCCTGTCTCTCTTAGCTTTTTTGCATGCTTTCGCTTCCGCTTTGGCTGGCTGGCAAGAAGTGCAGATTAAATTTGTTTAACATGCTTCCGAACTATTCCCAGCTGACGTTGATGGCGCCCAGGGGTCAGCTTTTTGGTCTAGGAGTTTGGAGAGCAGCTCCAGGTATTCCGCAGACACAAAGTGTTTATGCCCAGAGAATTGCATATTAGAAAAAATTAACTTTATTCTCGTGTCTGGCTTTAGTTTTTCCATTTAGCAAAATTGATGGAAAAATCCTTTGCCAAGCTAAATGAATTGTTTACTCATTGTCAGAGAGGAGAGAGGAGGAGTAGGAGGAGCTTAGTGGGCATTAATTTAATCCCGCTTCAAGCTTCGCTGCTAAATGAACAATTTTCAGGCTGTATGGCGTCAGTTAATTGCCAAACCCATGGTTTTTCCTCAACAAAACAAACGAAATAACTTAATGCGATTTTCAAATTGGTTCGTTCAGCTTTGGCTTTGGCTTCGAGTAAGCCTTAAACTGCAAATTGTTTGCTTTCTTGTGATTTTTCCTGCCTGGAAAAAGGCTTACAGGGAAAGCCTTTCAGCTTAAATGGCATAAATCAGGGAGAACTAACGAAAGGCACATGGGGAAAATGCACTCAACTAGGCACAAAGCTTGTGGAAAAATAAGGAAATTTATTTCCCTAAATAAACTAGGGTAGATTTTCTATATAACAAAAATATTCAAGAATGTTTTTACAAATAAATAAAAATTCTAAAGAATAAATTAAACAAAAAACCTGATACAACAGCAAATGAAAACCCTCTCCAACTTTTCTTTGTATACAAAAAAACTCACCTGGTGGACGATACCATAACGTGACCACCTCATGCGAATAGGTGTGGCTGGGCACGCTCTTGGCCCGGGCCAAACCAAAGTCGGCCAACTTCAGTTCACCACAATCGCTGATGAGCAGATTCTGCGGCTTAACATCGCGATGCAGGACACGCCGCTTGTGGCAGTAGGAGAGTCCGCGCAGCAGCTGGAAGAGGAACAGGCGCACATTGCGATGGTCCAGGCCGCCCGGATGTTTTTCCATATATTGCGACAGATCTGTATTCTGTAAATTTGAAAAGAAAAATTAATTAATAAGGGTTTTAAAATTAGAAAATATTTAAGATGAAAATCGAAGAGGATCCTTTTCTTTTTTTATATTATTTTTTAAGCCAGAACCTTTGATTTTCTATAATTTTTATTATTATTTATTTACTCACCACATATTCAAAGACAAATGTCAGCGTCTCGCGCGTATGCACTATGTCATGCAGCGTGACAATGTTGCTGTGTTTCAGTTCTTTCAGCAGCGAGGCCTCGCGAATGGCGGTAAAGGGAGCTCCCTCCTCCTCCTGCAGTCGGATCTCCTTCAGTGCCACCCGCTGGTAGGTTAATCTGGGAGAGATAGAGAGAGGAGGGTAAGGGAAAAATTAATAAAATAAATACTAGAGCTACATAGCTACATCCCAGGAATGTCCGAGCATAACACAACAATTGCACAGCTGCCACCGGCAGCAAAGGCAACAAAGAATTAGGCTCACAATTTGTGGTAGGGAGAAGGGACGAGCCCATATAGCCCCAAATGAACGCCAGGACATGGGGAGGGGTGGTGCCTTTTGTATATTAAACAGACATAACGACCCAACACGCAGGGAAATGTACGGCAAACACTTAAATTAGGATAAGGGACAGGCCACAGGACACACACCCAGCAGAGCAGAGAGATATACAGAGAGGATGCTGCAGGATGGCAGAGATGTGGGTTTGGATTTTATTTATTTTTAGAAGAATTTGGAAAGGAAAAAAGCTCAGTAAAAGATATATATTTTATGTAAATATATTTAAGGTTTATAGGAAATATATTTCTGAGCAAACTGAAGCTTCAAAAACAATATTTTTAAGGGCTTAATTAGAATATTATTTAATTAATTAGAATATATAGTATTTCTATTAACTTTGAAGCTTTACGAAATAGCTTTTTAGGGGTTTTTAAAAGTTATTCTTATTAATTGTATATTTAAATATTTATTTTGTTTAAAAAACTCTTCAAATTTCTATATTTTTATGTTTTCTATTTAAATTTAAATATTATAATATAGCTAGAAAATTTCTAAAATTATTTTGTAGACTGCTTTACAAGCTCTACAAAAATAGTTCACATTTTCATGGCCTTAAAAAGGAAATTCAAGCATAAATCTTCACAGTTTCCCTTTTTCAAAGCTCCGCCAGCACTGCCTAGAGGATACATAGAAGGCAGAATGGCAAGGATACCGTCTTGGTGGATATTTGAAGTGTCAAATTAGGTTAAATTATTTGACACTGCCGCACAGACGCTGACAATTTATGCGGCTTTCTTTGGCATTGCCAAGGCAACATTCTAATTGGCCAGGAAAACCCACAAAAGTCTTCTCTAAAGAAAAAATAAATAAAGAAAAACCAAAGAAAATCCTAGGAAAGCCAGGAATGTAACCATAAAGTAGTTGACTTTAAGAGCGAAATGTCAAAGTCAGAGTGAATTTCGGAAAGTTTTTCCAGCATTTTATGACTCAAGAGCCAAGTGAATATATCAAAGTGAGAGAAGACACTTTTTTTGGGGGGCGAAATGTAGCACTAATTGGGCAAGGCGAGGGTTAATGATGATGAGTATCAATTTGTCGAGCAGGATCGTAAATTCCTCGAAATACCCTAAACATTTTACAACAGTCATAAAAATTCACCAAGTTTTTCAGGGAAAATATCTTTGAATTAAACCTTTTATATGATATCAAAATGTATTCTAAAACACACATACACACACACTTATTTCTGGGTTAATAAACCCGCACGTAAAAAGCTTATGTCCTTGCGGGTGAAACATCTGCCAGCTAGAAAGATTTTCCCATGAAAAATGTAACCGAGAAAAGCTCTATAAAAATTCCTAGATAATTTTCAAGTGGGAAAAATTGAGGATGAGAAGATTTGTAAAAGAGGATTTGCTGGATGAGGCTGAAACTTTGTCTTGTTAATGTTAAAATAATACGATTTAATACGATTTAGTTAAGCATAAACCGAAAATTGCGTGCTCAAAAAGTTTTCTGAAATCGAAGTTCCTTTTTGTCCTTTTTTGGCAACAGCTGACCTACTAAATGCTAATCAGCAGCAGCAGCAACTTGACTTTCGCCTCGAAGGACTCTCATTCTTGCTTCTTGTTGTTGTTATTGTTTGCTTAGGTAGAAAAAAGTAGTCACAGGAGTAAAAGTAGGAATACAAACACAAAGGAAAACCAGGACGAGGAAAAACGAAAGTCAAATAGAAGTGAAATCATTCATGAAATCTTTTACAATTGACAAACAGAGCGGGCAAGAGAGCTAGGGAAAAGCTAAAAATCACCGTAAACGAGAGGCAGCATAAATCTTAGAAGGAAAAGTGACCTAAATTCCCATTTGAAAAGGCACACAGAAATCCAGAGTGAAAGGACAAAAGACCTGGGCCTGGGTCACATTTCCATTTTGGCACATAAATTAGAGCGAATTAATTGCATTTCATATAAACAAAAGCTAATTGGAACTCATTTCGTATGTAAGCGCCGTCGTGCATAGCAAATTAGGGAGCAGGGAAATGCTGGGAAAAACCTAAGGAAAACTAGGAGTTGTAGGGGCTGCTCGTTTTTCACGTAATTCCCATTGTTACAGGCTAAACTTTAGGCCAACACCAAAGCAAATGATTGTCAAATAAATCAAAAACAAAAGGCAGAACCAAGATGAAGTGTTTTCCAGGGAAGGAGGAAAAACAAGGCGGAAAATAAGGAACTGGGGGGGAGAGAAAAATCAAGTAGAGGTTGGGTGGCAAGTGCCTGTGACAGGCAGCCAAAGGGGGAGTCACAGGGCTTATCTATCATCGGAAACGAAGGACAGCCAGGCTTTGAGTCCTGTCAAAAAGGTGACGAAGCTGCTTTGCCCCTCCCCAAGTTTTCCCCTCAATTCTTTTTCCAGGCCCATTTGTCAAATTATGAAAGCAGGAAAACTCCTCGAACTCTTCGAACTCCCAGCTCCCAACTCCATTTACCATTTTCCCACACCCCAGCTTTTCCTTAAACAACTGAAATCAGTGCCAGACGAGGCGCAAATGAGCCAGCATTTTGTACAGCCATGTTTTTTTGGGTTAGGAGTTTTCAGGGGAAAAAGGGAGGTGGAAAGCCTTAGGAAGTCAACTCAATTGTGGGACAAGTTTTGAGCAAAAGTGCGTGACCCCACACTGAAATTAACAATTAAGTTTAAGGTAAAATTAATTGTTTATAAAAATCCAGCTTTTACATAACAAAACTTCTTTAAAAACTGTTTCTAAAATATAATTTTTAAAGTTTTCCCTACAGTTTCCCCCTCTAGTTTTCCCCCAGTGCAGACTTAGGCCAACTAAACAATTGGACACAATAGAAAAGGGAAGGAAAGAAGCTTGACTGCAATCTCTTTCTCTCTCCGGGTGACCCACATAGCCTCGTTCCTGGCCCGGGACCGTTGCTCTTCCTCCTGCTCGTGATTGATAGCCACATTTGCATGGTCCTGGGTCCTGGTAATGAGTCTGCCAACGGGGACAAAGAAATTTCAGCCAAAAAAGGAGCTACAGAGGATGCACGAGACGAGAGGGAAAACCGGGGGAAAACTAGCGTATAAATCAAGGCAAAATGACGACACACATTTTTTCTGCTTATTTTTTGTTACTCCCTAAAAAGGGAAATCCATTTTGATCGGGGTCCATCAGAGAGAGAAAAGAGACTCAAGCTGGGCACCATAATTTTTTGTTTAACCCACTGACACGGCAACCCCTTTCTTTTTTAGGGGATATTTATGGTTGAAATGGGTGTGGTATGCATATATGGTATATGGTTCGGTTTTACTCACTTGCTAAATCCTTTGTAGACTGTCGCATAGGAGCCTTCGCCCAGCGGTTCGAGCTTCACGTAGGCCTCCTGCTTGCCAAATGGGGAGTCGCCCTGTTGGGATTTATTCGCAGCAGCAAAAAAACGGTAGAAAAAAAGTAGAACAAACACATGGAGTTGAGTGAAAAGTGTATCATGTTTTGGTTAATTAATTAAGCGAAAAGTTAGTTGGCATTACATTAGCAGCCGTACGTTGATGATGTAATCAGAGTGGCAAACGGTTGCCAAGTGCTCTACATATGTTTGTTTTGTATATTTTTCTGGCTTTTATTAATTTAATTACTTAATATAATGTTTGCTTTTGAATGAGTGGCGTAAATATTTGCTTGAAATTTTATTTTGGGGTTGGGCATTAAATTATTTTCAATCCTGAAAGTATGTGGCAAAAAATATTCTACATATGCTCTGGCGGTTCATTTATTCGCCGTTAAAGTGGCAGGAGGCGTTATAGAATCCAATATAATTTAATTTAATTTTTAAAATTAAGATTTAATATTGCTAAAAAACTGGGAGTAAAATGCTATATTTATAGAAGGTGAAATATATTCAAGAAATTATTTTTTAAACGTTAAAAACGAATATAAGTTACTTCTGGACAATATGTACATATATTATTTTATGGTATTTAGTTATTTTGTTAATATTTCTGATAGTTTTTTTTAGTTATTCTATATTTTGGTTGTTTACTTAATTTTTTGACTCTTTAATTTTAAGTTTTTTAATCAATAAACCATTTGTTACTTCGGAACAATAATTAAATATCTTAATTTCTGACATTTAGTTTTTTTGTTTATATATTTCTGATATTTAACCTACATTTCACTTGTTTACTTAAATAATTTATTGTTTTTTGGCTCAATTTTTAACTTTTTTATTAATTAATTAACGGAAAATTAAAGAATAAACAATGTTTATTTATACCGAACTTTTCACAGTTCAAATATATATTTTAACTATTTAAAGTTTCAATTTATTTAAGAACAGCAGACTTATTGAATGTAAATCCTCTATATTTTTTTAACCACTTACAGTTGTAAAATATTATTTACCAACTTAACGTCTTAATATATTTTTCCACTATTTAAGTTTGCAATTTATTTATTATCGGAACACTCAATGCCTAGACAAAGGGTCCCACCAAGACAAATTTCAAAGAGAATTAAATTTTCAATACCCAAGCAGGCGCTGCCGTGGCTACTCCATGCAGCCAGAGCCAATAGATGTTGGGAATTATAAAGGCAGAGAAACGGAAAATTTAACCCCCATAAGAATGCAACGAAAATGTGACTATTGAGGGTGGTTTCGCTGCGAAATACAGGATAAATACTTGTTAAGAAACTTATTCATTGAAAATTTGATTTGTGACAAAGAAAAATCTATTTAAAATAGAATTTTATATAGTTAAATATTGTTCTAAGCCTTTTAATAATTATTCCTGTATTTTAAATAATTATAAAAGAACATTTGTGACATTCTTTTATAATTATATATAATTATAGTTACTCTATTTTTAAGCATTTAATGTTTTACTTTATCTAAAATTTCTAGTGCCTTGCCAAGCCACTTAAATCCCCCCTAAATAAAGCCATTATAAAACCGTAAATTACAGAAATAAATATAAAATAAATTCGCCCCATTTTCTACTTACACCAAATGCACTGAATCGTTTGCGTCGCGGATGCGGATCCTGCTTGTTAAGAAAGACCTCGGACTTGGGTCTGGGCGGCTTCTTGGGACGCATGACCACGTGCGAATGGTACTTCATCTCCTCCCGGATGTCGTCATCCAGCAGCTTGCTGTCGGAGGACACGGACAGTTGTCTCTGGACGCGATCATGGTGGTCGGTGCTATCCGTGCTGCGCCAGTCTGCAAAAAAGCCATAAAAAAAAGCACAAAAGGGAATACTTGAGTAACTTGAGGCCCAAAAACAAAGTAAGGCAGGTGAGAGCGAAAAAAAAAGGAGAGGCAGGTGAGGGCCAAAGGGCCAAAGGTAAATGCAAAGGCAGCAAAGCAAAGGAAAAGCCGCTTAATGAGCAGTCGGAGAGCACAGGCCCACTTAAAAACCAAATTAGTGGCCCCGACAACAACAACAACAAGTGAGCCCAGACAAGTGGATAAAAGCAGTCCAAAAGGACTAGCCAGGAGCTCTTTCTTAGCCAGGTGTACGTACACTCGCTTAAAAAAAAGAAGGGCAATCTAAGCTAAGGGTGTTTAAAACGGAATTAAGTAAGACTAGGTAAAAACAAGAAAGGAAGCTAACTTCGGCACGCCGAAGTTTGTATACCCTTGCAGATATTATTTCATTACATTTTACCTATACTTATTATGTTTACAGTTTGACAGTTACAGTTTTGCATTCCCAGCTTTACATTTTGTATACATCTACGGATCGGTTTATATGGCAGCTATATGATATAGATGTCCGATTTTTTTGAAATTTATACCAAAATTCTAGAATAATAAAATAAGCTTATATCCCAGAGTAGATGAAAATACGTTGAAAAACAACGAATCTATAATTTTTTTCTATTAATTTCCCGATCGTTCCTACGGCAGCTATATGATATAGTCGTCCGATTTTCATAAAATTTTTACCAAAATTCAGAAATAATATAAAATGGTCATATCTAAAAAATGGTGCAAAAATGTTAAAAAACAGCAAAGTTATAATTTTTTTCCTAAAAATGTATCGAACATTTGTATGGCAGCTATATGATATAGTCGTCCGATCTGGCCCGTTCCGATATATATAGCAGTGAGAGTATATAGAAGACTATATGCAAAGTTTCATTCAGATAGCTTTAAAACTGAGGGACTAGTTTGCGTAGAAACAGACAGACGGACAGATGGACAGACGGACAGACGGACAGACGGACAGACGGACAGACGGACAGACGGACAGACGGACATGGCTATATCGACTCGGCTGTTGATGCTGATCAAGAATATATATACTTTATAGGGTCGGAAACGTCTCCTTCACTGCGTTGCAAACTTCTGACTGAAATTATAATACCCTGCAAGGGTATAAAAAGGCTGATAGACATGATTTTTATACATTTTTTTAATGAAATTGAGTTGCTAAAAATAGTTTTATTAAATGAAAAACATTTTCTCTCTTTTCTTATAATTTTCTAGAATTAATTTCCCATTTTAATTTGCAAAAATTAATAAAATTTCCACTAAAAACTTTCTCTTTAAATATTTCTTTAATAAAAACTTAATTTCTCTTTTTCTCTCTGCATATGAAAATAATTACTGAATGGTCTCCACAATTTCCCATTTTCCGTGCATAATGAGCACGTGAAAAATCCAGAGAAATGAGGAAAGAAATTCTCACAGCCTCAGACTCATTATGCACATCATCAATATAATGAATGATTTCAAGAGAGAGAGAAAGCCAAAATCGAGTTTGGCCAACCTTGAAATGGCCAAAATGAATGGTTGTGGAAAAATCCAGGTAAGGAAAATACAGCTGTCGATGTTTACCTTCATCTCGTTATAATAAAATGTTTCAAAAGCCACCGCCGCAGCAGCAGCAGCAGCAGTAGCATCTGGCCAAAAGTTGGTCTAGGACAAAGTTTTGCAGTTGGAACAGGTGCAAGAGCTGGAAGCTGTGTGTTACCTGGCCAGGGACAGAGCCAGCAGATTGGGACTGGGTCACCTAGTAACCTGCTGATGATACTTTTTCATTCATTGACTTTGCGGGAGTGAAAATCCCAATACAGTGTGACTTTTTTCTATTATTTTTGGAGGTGAAAATAAAGTTTAATTTAAGGAAATTGGAAGATTTTAGATTTTTATAATTTTTCGTTTAAGAATTTTTAATTTTTAAAATTTCTGTTAATTTCTACATTTTAGAAATAAATTATTATTAAGTTAAAATAAAAAGAATGACTTGATTTCTTATATTTTCAAAGACAAAGCCTAGTTTTTTTTTAAATTTATATTTTGTAAAACTTCTTATCTGTTTTATGTTTTTATCTTTACTTCCTCAAGGTATTTTAAATAATATTTACACTAAAAAATATATCCTAAACCCACTGCACAGTCAGAGAGTTCACGCCCACCGAGAGTGTTCTTCTGTTTGTTTGGTTTTCTATTTGAGCACTAATTACATTTTAAATTATATTTGCTTTTCCCCAGGTTGTGCAGTTCGCCCCGCTAACCGTGACTGACTTTTCCGGGGCGGGGAGGAGAAGACCTGCCCTTTTCAGCAAGGAAAACCCAGGTGCAGCAGCAGCATCTGCTTTCGTTTGAAATATTTATATAACAAAGTTGCAGCTTTCCTCGTAAATTGCCCTGGCCCCCAAGAAGAGATTGGGGTTTTTCTCTAACCGGAAGTTAAGCTTTAAGATGGAAACTTTTCTTTATTTATTTTGGGGAAGACCCAAAGACACACATAACACTAACACTAACACTAAAATGAATGGAAAATATCGCATGAACATTTTCCACTTTGGAATTCGCAACATGTTTCCCCCCATTCACAGTGCCAACTGTATTTTTCACTTATATTTCTTTTTGCGTTTCGCGCCTCCCGTTTCGTATCATAAAAAATTTAATATTCGCTGGCAAGATGTTCTTCCGGCAAGAGTTTCCTCTGTTTTTTACTTTTTTTATTCCTGCAGAATGCTTGAGAAATTACTAACATAAAAATTAAAAATTCAACAGCAGCTGATTGTAGAAAAGAAAACTTTGAGCGGCCCGCAGAGAGCGATAAGGGGGTGGAGTGGATTTTCCAGGGGGAAAGCTGACGAGCAGCCATTGAAAGATGATCCACAAAAGGAGATGTAGTGAGAGAAAAATAGTTTCTTTTTTTTTTAAATTTAAACATGAAAAATAATATTATTAATGGGGAAAATGTATATTTTTTTGGGAAATTTATAAAAAGTAAAGTATAATGAAAATATACAAAGAAAGCTTTAGAAAACTAGTTGGAATAGTTAAATATATTTGAAAAATATGATTGGAGTTCAGGAAAACTATTTATAATTAAGTAAAAAATTAGCGATGGGACTTTAATTGTTTTTAATGTATGTTAAATATTTAATTATATATTATCACCTAGATTTCTTCTTATATTATTTAATATTATAATAATAATGTTTTTATATCTTTTTATATTTTAAAAATATTTTACCCCTTTTTCTTTTCTATTTTATTTTATTATTTTGTAATATAATAATTAAAAAATATATTTTAAAAAATAATATATTACCTCTAGTTTTCTTTTCTATTTTATTTTTTAATCCCCCATTTTTCTCTGTGTATTCTACACACATCCTTAGACTTAGCTGCCTCATGTTCCGTATCCTGACAGCGATTAAATGCGCAATATGTGCCATAAATGAGCCAAATAAAAGAAAAACTTCAATAAAGACGAATATATATCTCAAAATGTTTGCCTTTTCAGAGCCACTGGCCTCCTACAGCATCCTCCCCTCCCTTAACTCCTGTCTAGCCGCTCGAGTGGAATGGCATTTGGCGTCTTCGACTTGGTCTTCGTCTTCTTCTTGGTCCTGGCAAATCAGCGATGAAGGAAAGGCAACAACCGATGGCAGAATCATTTGATTTGCAAAAATTGACTGAGCAACAAACATTCATCGATAGAAAAGTGCCTGTCAAATTGGCAAATGAGAGCCGAAGGAAAGCGTCTTTGAAAAGTTGTAAAAATTGAAGTGGGAATGTAGCCAGCAAATGTCAGCTGAAAAATATAGTTTTCTATATATTTTTCTGTTTTTTTTTGGCAACGATAATTGGTTATATAGGAGAGTGGCAATTCGAAAGTGTAGCAATTTTTTGGCATGGCCCTTTTTCGGGTCATCAAAATGATTATTATTATTGCTATTATGATGTTGCACACACATATATAGATATCGATTGAGATGTTTGTGGTGAATTGGAGCATGAAAATGGGTGAAAAGAGCCTTAGGGCAGGCATAGGGAGGAAAGTTATCTTGTGGAGATTTTAGTTATTACTTAGTTTAGGTTTTATTTATTTTTAAAAAATTATAGAAATTCAAAGAAGCTTTGTTTTGAGAAATATTAAAAACTATTTTAGCTTTACTTGAGATTTTTTCTTATTTACAATTTAATTTCTTTAAGTTTTATAAAGTTTAAGCTTCTTTAAAGGTTCTTTTCTCACTTTCTTTAATTTATTAAAAATCCCCAACAATGTTATTAAATCTTTCTCTCTCAGAAACCCCCTTTACTTTACCTTATCTCACCGTGACACACTTTGAGGTTTTATCTACCTGACGTTGCTGTTCGCCATACCCCTTACCCCTACCCATAAAGTTATTTAGTATTCCATTCTTTCCACTCAACTCTTTTTATCACCCTCGCGGGCTGGCCTCCGCGCTGATATTATGTTTTCCCCTTCAACGCCTTCGTATAAAGTTTTATTGCATTTCCCTTACATATCTTTTGGCTACAAAAAAAAAAAGACAGTATATAAATGTGAAAAATCTGTGACGCGAAAATCTTGAAATGCAAACAGAAAATCAGTACAGGAAGCTGTCGCCGAAAAAAAATGCGGCGAAAACTAAAATGAAAGAAGATAAGTTGCGGGGGAAATTCGCTGGTAAAATGAAAACAATGGAAATTATGCAAGCGCATCAGGAGGAGAAGAGCAAAAAAAAAAGGAAAGCATAAAAATAGCACCGGGGATTCGGGAGGAAGAGGAGCCTGTCGCTGATGTCTGGCTGGCTCGTCCTTCGGCCCGCTCTTGTTGATATAGTTATGCAAATGCTATGCAAGGATGTCACGTCCTGCCGCTGACTTAAAGCCACGCACACATGGGACAAATACCAAGTGAGTGTGCCAGGGGAGACGGAGTGTGTGAGTGAGTGAGTGTCCTTTTC